GCGGAGCGATGTGCCGGGTGCTTCTCTGCTGCCCCAGATGAAATGAGGGGACGGTCCTTTGAGCCTCCACGCTAGAGCTGAGCGCCAGCGTCCGCCTGGTGTGCCCAGCGTTGTCTCCTGGGAGCTCATTTTCTTTCAGCGCTCAGACAGCGTCCTGTGCCCTTCTCCTCGCTTAGACCCAAGTGTCTGCCTGCGGGCACTGCCGTCTGGCGGCACACCCACCTCCGCTCACCTCCCACCCTCCAGGAGGAAAGGGAAGAGCGTTGCAGTGAGGGAGCCCGAGGGGCTTCCCTTTGTGTACCAGACTTTGTCCTCTGAGGTCTCAGGACCCAACATGGGTTACTTTCAGTTTTCTGGGTTGTAAGTCCATTAAAGATGATGTCTAAATTGATTGGAACTTTAAAACTCGTTAACCTTGGATGTTTCTGTTTTTCATGTGCAAATATTTAGAGTAGACATCTGGAATTTTATTTGGATGATGACCAAGACTTCGTGGCCTGCTTTGTACCTTGAGACTGTAACGCTAAGTGAAATAAGCTCACGCTTAAGTGCCACATGGTTTCTCTTAGATGAGAACACTCCAGTGGAGACAAGTCAGAACAATATGAAAGAGAATACGGAACAGGGAGATAGATCTTTGGCAAATGGGAGATGGGCCAAGGTGGGGGAGGATGTAAAAAGAATTTTAGGTTGTGTTAGGCCCATGCACCAACTGTCCACAATGAGTATAATCATTATGTACCAGAAACATTACTACTAAAACTTTTGAAAAGAATTTTATTACCGGTTCCATGTCATTTAAAGGGCGAAGTATTTCTTCTGTTTGCATTTGACAGAATTTAACATTTGATCTTGACCTTCTTCCCTACTTCTAATCCAGTTTAGTTATTATTATCTTTTATTTATTTATTTTTACGATGAGGTTCCAATGTGTGGCCTGTGCTTGCCTTGAACCCCTGGGTCCAGATGGTCTTCTTATCCCAAGTCCACAGGAAGCTGGGACTGAGGGCACAAACCACTATACACAGCTGTATTTTTTTTTTTTTTTTTTTTTTTTTTGGTCTTTTTCCTTTTATCGGTACCGGGGATCGAACTCACGACTACCTGCTTGCAAAGCAGGCGCTTATGCCGCTGAGCTAAATCCCCAGTCCCCCACAGCTGTATTTTAAAATTTTATTGAAAAGAAACTGAATCACAGCCCGTGTGTCCCGGCCCCAGCCCAGTTCTTGAAACACGGACATTTACTGGATGAATGAACGGGCCCCCCTACCGTGGCTGATAACTTTTTCCTAGTTTCAGGTTGACACAGAACCCTGTGTCCTGGGCCACATGCTGTGCCCTGGGCTCTTTCTTTTTTTCTTTTTTTTTTTTTTTCTGGGCTCTTTCTTTTCAGTCCTCTGCTGACCACCTCAGAGCCTGAGTGTAGCAGCTCATGCCTATAGTGCCACCTATGCAAGGCTGAAGCAAGAGGATCTCGAATTCAAGCCCCCCTTGAGTCATTTAGACCTTGTCTCAAAAGATGAAAGGGTGGGGATGTAGCTGAGCTGCACAGCGCTCAGCGGGCAGGCACAAAGCCAGGGTCCATCGCCAGTACCCCAGAAGAGGCCCGGGGGTCAAAGGGGACAGTGGGAGGAGGGGCCTGGAGATGTGGGTCCTGCGTGCTCTGATGGCTGGGAAGCCCTGACTGGGATGGGCAGGGTGGTAGCTGCGCCACCAGGTTTTGTGGTGTGTGTGGGAATGGCCAGGCCAAGGGTAGGCAGGCAGGCCGCCCACACGGAAGAACAAAGGCTTGGTCTGAACTCCAGTCCTTCTCTAAGACAGCAAGGCACTGTCAGCCCAGCAGAGAGCCTGGCTGACAGTGGGCACTGCAGAAGAGAGAAGGGAAGCTGTCCTCAGCAAGGGCGGCTGCAGCCATCCACACTATGTGGAGACTTGCCTGGTGTGCCAGCGCACCTGCAGTCCCATTTCTGAGTATAACAGGAACAGCCGTCCACAGCCGCCCGCCCCACTTAAAGTAACTAGAGCAGGAAAGGGCTTCTTCCTCAGTAGGACCTTCAGTGGCACTGATCAGCAGGGACATTAAAGTAGAGAGCACCTGCGCCCAGGTGGCACCGAGAGGAGCTGAGGACGGTGCAGGGCAGCCGAGGATGGACCTGGGATACAGGTGGGATAGATGCAGGTCGGTCCTTCCGGAAGGCTGAGGCTGCAGCCTGTTCCCAGAGACACACTCGAGCGGTGGCTCCTGAGACGCAGCACTCTGCAGCCTGCGTTTAGCTTCCCGAGTCCCGCACTCTGGACGATCTCAGCTCAGGCTAAGGTAGTCATGACTGGTGGTCAAGAACACGGCTGCTGCAACTCAGCTTTTGTTTACACTTCAGCTCCTCTACTTGGAGGAAGTGCCTCAGTTTCCCCACTCTTAACAAGGCACGTGATGATAGTTGGTACCTCAGTGGGGTTTTTGATAGGGTTAAATGAAGTGCGTGCACTTAGAAAGGCGTAGAAACGGGTCTGGACCTGCAGAGGTCTCTAGGCGGGAAGCGATGCCTGGCTCCCTCATCTGTGTAGGAGAGGGCTGGTGGCAGGGTCCTAGTGGTGGGTGGCAGCCTTAGAAAGAGTGTTTATCCCAGTAGCAACACTAGGGAGAAAACCAAATCTGTTCTGGTCTCTGGCTTTTCCCACTACCTTTGAGGGGCTCAGTGGATGGTATCCCTGCCCCTCAGGACAGAGTCTGAGTTACTCCGGCTGACCTCAAACTTGGGATTTTCCTGCCTTGGCTTCCCAAATAGCTGGGATTATGGGGGTTACCACTATGCCCATCTGGCCACCACTTTGGGAAGGTCAGACATACACCAGACAGCTTTCATTTGCCCCTGCTAATCCTTGTACAGCCTTAGGACCTCTTCCCATTTGATTGAGAGGCTGCCTGGAGACAGCTGCTGCCCTGAGCCGTCACCAGAGCAGCAGAACCTGCACCAGGGAGTCCCAGAGACTGAGATGCAGTGGGGGGCGGGTGGGACAGCACTGCTGCAGGCGGAACAGGGCTTAGGAAGTGCTGCTTGGGCCGCACTCCAGGCCCCTGGGGGTGGTGTTTTTCTGTTAGATGTACTTCCTGCTCTCCCAGTGCTGTGACAGCAGTCAGGTGTGTGTGGTGCAGCCTTTGTGACAGTCAGGTGGGGCTGACAGAAGCAGAGAGGACATGTGGAGTCCAGGATGCTAGCCAGGAGCAGCGCTCCAACCAGAGGGAAGCCAGAGGTCCTGGGGCCTTCGAAGTCCCGTTATCCCCTGCGTGCACACAGTGAGGCAGAGCTGGGAACGTGGCTGGGAAATGCCGGGATTTTCCGTTCACCTGGATGGTCAGTGGTAGAGCTGGGGTCACACCTGGTGTTCTCTGACCTCTGAGCCCGAGGTTTCCCGAGGGCGTTTGCATCTTCACTCTCATCACCTCAGTCTGGTCTCATTACCCTGGTCATTTTGAGACAGGGTCTCACACAGGTCAGGCGGGCCTTGAGCTCACTGTATAGCCCACCTGACCTTGGACTGGCAGCAGTCCTCCATCACAGCATCCCTGGTACTGGGGTTATAGGCATGCGCCCCACATCCCGCTTGGACAGTAATTTCTGAAAGCCGCTTCCTGCTGGCTCTCCTTGAGGTCTGGGAACCAGCAGGGCAGCTCTGCCTGGGAATGTGCTAAGGGAGCAAGTCTCCATCTTCCCCTGGCCTGTGCTGTGTATGAATTCCTCGGGTAGAACTAGTATTTGTATTAAAACACCACGTTCATGTTCCTCTAATAGCTGAGAGTAATACTTCTGGACCATTTAAAAATTTATTTCTTAACTTTGACACAGGGTCTTCCTATGGTAGCCAGGCCTGGCCTTGACCCCAGAAATCCTGCCTCAGCCTCCTGAGTGCTGGGATTACGGGCGTGCACCACCACACCTGGCTGTTTCAGAACCATCTGACATAAGAGGTCAATGGAAACTTAGAGAGTTCCCAAAGTCTTTGTGTCTGTGACAGTGCTGTGGACTGCAGGCCAGGTGCCCACATTCCAAAGGAGCCTCGCCTTCTTTGGGGTTCCTCAAGTGCTAGACCACCCGCTAAGGTTCCAGCCCTGGTTCTGGGCCCCTCCTGCCTGTGTCACCTGTCTGTGGAGACCTGTGTCACCTTGTCCTTGGATATTTTTGAGGCATGATACTGCATGCCAGGCTGGCCTGGGACCGTGTGTGTTTTCTAGACGCAACTGTATATAAGGAGGAACTAAAGTGCCGCTTAAAAGGACAAAGGAGCTCCCAGAGCAAAGCCCTCTGTGGGACAGCAGGCCAGGCTGCCGTTGGCCCTCCTCCCCAGCCTTGTTACACGGCCTGCTGGCTGGGGAGTGCAGGATGTGGGAAGGCAGGTGAGGCAGTAGCCTCGTCCGGGCTGCAGACAGGGCCCTGGAGGGCAGGTGATCGCCCCTTCACTCTGGCCTGGCCTGCAGATCCCTGACCATCGCTCAGAAGCAACTGGAACGTCTTCCTCTTTCTAGCTGAGCCTCATGGGGGAATCCGAATCTGGGGCTCCTCTGGCTGAGGCGCTCTGGAGGGTGGGCTTGGGGGTGGAACCTGGGAGTGATCCCGACCGCTGGGTCTCCTGCCCAACAGGGATGGATAAGATGGGCACCCCCAGGGCAAACCTCGGATAGAGATGGCCTGCTAGGCCTCTTCTCTGTGTGCACCTCTCCTGTCCTTGGGCAACACTCAGGGAGGGGAGCCATGTGTGGCTGAGAATGTGAACTACCCTTCAGTGAGTACTCCAGCTTTTCAGAAGAGGTGAGGTCTCCTTGGTAATGTGAAGCACACACGTCAGTGCCAGAGCTGACCAGTGTGTTGCTTCTCCCACTCGAAGGCCATGCTTTAGACTGTTCTGCGTGAGAAGCAGAGGTGGAGACGGGAAGTTCTTAGATGAGGCTGACTTGCTTTCTTGCCTTGGGATTGTGAAAAGCACAGCAGTCTGTTCTCATCTAGGTCTTCCTGCAGATCCTGAGCATCTGGAGCGGACCCTGAGCCTCGGCATTGGCTGCTGCCCTCCCCACTTGGAGAGATGTCTGTCACTTACGACGATTCCACTGGAGTAGAAGTGTGCAGCGACAGCTTCTGGGAGGTAATGCTCTTCTCTTCTGGAGAGCGCAGAGTCCAGGCCGAGGACGCCCGACAGGCTCTGTGCTGCTGGTGGGGACGAGGGACAAGACGCACATCCCCCACACCTGCCAGACACTTGCAGTTCAACCTCAAAGGTAGCAGGGAAGAGGTGGCGCTGTGTGCCAGCCAGCCCGTGTGCCCAGCTCTCTTGAGAGCAGTGGGGTAGGCTCCCTTGCTACTTGGAGAGGTTAGAGGTCCTCCCATCCGTCCATTCAAAGGTGTTTGTATGTCTAGCTGCTGGGAGTAGCATGGGAGTCACGTTTAGTGATTGGGAGCAGCATGCTGGGCTCCACCTGCGAGATTCTGCTTTGGAGTCTCGCGTGGGACCATGGCCAGGAGTGACATGACATCCTCATTACGGTGCTGGCCGCTGTCCAGAGGGCGAGAATATCTGCCCATGGGCTGCAGAGCTGCCTCTTGTTGATGGAAGTCATTCCTCCTGAGCCTCACTGTCTTCCTGCCGACTGTCTAAGAGAAAGCTTCCGATCGGCTTTGCCCCCCTCCCCCCCCCCGACAAAACCACTGGTGGTTTCTGGCAGTTGTAGGTTTGTGGAAAGAACACTTTGCAGCTGGAAAGATCTGGACTCTGTCCCAGCTGTGCAGTAGCTAGCTGTGTGATCACGGGCAGGTCCTCAGGCTCTTTATAGGTAAAGGGGATATCAGCCACAGCAGAGGCTGCCAGAGCAGGGCCGCGCAGCCATTGGTGCCCTCTAGGTGCCGTCTTGAAGCAGGAGGCTCCAGAGATGGATGGAGATGAAATACCCTGGTGTTTGTCAGGGATGGCATGAAGTAGCTTGCCAAAACTAATAAGATGTGTGATTTTTGTCTGAAATCAAGCACCATCTGCTACTGCAATTTAAAGGAGCCAAGTGACTGGATGTGGTGGTGCACGCCTGTAATCCCCACTTGAGGGATGCTGCAGGGTTGCTCAAGCTCAAGGCTAGCCCAGGAGCTGCCCACCGCCAGCCTGCTGAGGAGGCACTGCCCGGCCACAGCTGGGCTGCCAGGGGCCGAAGAGAGCAGGAACAAGGGCCCAGCCCTGAGCCGTGCTGGCCTTGCGAAGTTACAGCCTTGAGGGGAGGTGGTCCAGGCCCACAGCCTCTGGGGTCTTTGCTGATGGCAGGATTCAGGATCCCATAGGAGGGGTTATCACCTTAGCCAAAGAAAAGGGGCCAGGGGCAAGACGTGACCCCCGGGGACAAATCCCCATGACCCACTCCCTCAGTAAGGCCCCACTGCCTAAGGTTCCAACATTCCCCTGATGCTGTCAAATATGAATTCATCCATGGCTAAACCCAGATGGAGTTAGAGACCCCAGGTCCCATCTTCCAAAAGCCCCAGCTCGGACACTGGGGACCAAGGCTTCATACCATGAGCCTTCGGTGGACATTTCCTCTCTAAACCCTAACCCCCACCCAGAAGTTTGCTGCATGCTTACTATCCCATAGCAGTGCTCCCTGGTCCCCCAGGGCAGGTGGGAGGCTATGGCCTTGCGCAAGGCACTGTCACGGGCCCCTCCTCACCTAGCTCACTCAGCGTAGGACAGAGAGACCCGAGAGTGTCCGGGCTGCACTGCAGAGGGGCACAGCAGCCCTTTGTGCAAAAGCAGGCGCACATTCATGTGCCCTCAAGGGGCCTCCAGACTGAGTGAAGCATAGGCACAGAGCGCCGGGGTACCCCAGGGAAGTGTGGCTGGGAGAGGCAGCACGGAAGAGTGGCTGTGAGGCTTGGAAAGTGCTGGAGAGGAAGGAGGATGGGTGATAGGTCCTTTCTCTGTCTCGTTTCCTGTGGTGCTCGGTGACAGGTGCCTGGGACCTTTGAAGTGAGCAGCTCAAAGAATGATGCACAATGAGCATTTTGATTTCCACCCCAGTCATCCTAGCATTTTCTCAGTTATCCTGATTATTTCTAGTTTGGGTTAGCTACTTTCTCCTTTCTACATGGGGAAGAAAGGAGGGGAAACTCACCTGGCCCTCGACAAAGCCTGGGTGTTAGTTCTGCCATCTGGGATGTCACCAACTCTGGAAAGCCTTCCCTGGGTGCCCCACTGTGAGAGTCCCCCGGCACCCAAGGCCTGCACTGTGGGCTTCTGCCTTCCTCCCTGCCCGTGGGTTCTGGTATGAACCCTGGCCTGGGGTTCATCTAGAGGTCCCTGTCCTCTGACTGTTTCTGTTGTTAACAAAAGCAGAAGCAGCTCAAGCGCTGGGGAGAGCACGGGGCTCCTGGTGCAGCAGCAGGGGCAGGCTGCCACCCGCGGAGACTGGCACAGGGGCAGCCTCCGCCTCACAGCCTGCTGTCTGTCTCTCAGGTTGGGAACTATAAGCGGACCGTGAAGAGGATCGACGATGGCCACCGCCTGTGCAGCGACCTCATGAACTGCCTGCATGAGCGCGCGCGCATCGAGAAGTCCTACGCACTGCAGCTCACTGAGTGGGCCCGGCGCTGGCGGCAACTCGTGGAGAAGGGTACGGATGGCCGGGCTCCTGTCCTGGGAGGCACAGGTGGGAGTGCGTATCGCGCGTTGGGAGGCCCACAGGGTGCCGGGCACCTCACAGGCTCAGGCCATGTGAACTGCCGTTGCATCTCCCTGGGGGCACCAGACTGCCCTCTGTACAGCCCTCGTGGCTCATCTTCTGATGCTGGTCATCCTTAGAACACACGTAGGCCCTGGGCTGACCTGCAACAGGACAGCAACTGCTGCTAAGGGCTCGCGCGTGACGCAGCTCCTGCAGGTGCAGACACCTTGCTGGCCAGCACCTTGTGTTCTAGCCCCAAGAGCCCGGCCCTGTGGGAAGTCAGGTGACACTGGGTAGTGACAGCAGCTGGGTGTGACTGCAGGTGTTCCCTGCTGGAGGTTTGCCCTTCTCTCCTTCCAGAGATGCTCAGAGGGGTGAGATCTGTCACAGATACTTCTGTGGGAGTCACACTTGCCAGCCCTGGGGAGCTGGGTGATGGTGGGATTTCCTGGGCAGGGGCAGCTTCCCTGAGCTCCTCTGAATGTATAGGGCTGGCCTTCCACCCTGGCCATTCAGGGAAACCAGGTTGCTGGTGAGGGTCAGCAGAGGCTCCCTGTCCTTGCCCCTGATGCTGAAGCAGGCCATGTGAGGGCACAAGCGCAGCCCTGCTGCAGCGTGGTGGCCCCAGCTAGGGAGCTGCCTGGATAACAGAGCAGCAGAGACAGGTTACCTTGCTCAGCTGATGGCAGCCGTCACTGCTTTAGCTCCGCTGTCACCTTTGCCATGCTCACCTTGTGGATGTGTCCACACCAGTGCTGACCAAGCAGGCCTTAGAGCATGCTCACTTTATAGTCTTAATGCATTATGAGTTCAGAAGGCCACACTTCTGCCGACCTGAAGCCTGAGAGTCTTGTGCCCCACTCTAGTCTGTCAGTGCCTGGTTCAGTGACTGCCGCTCTCTGTGACCATCTCAGGGTCCCAGCCCGGGTCTCTTGTTTCTCATCCTCAGCTTCGCCGTAGTTCTTGCCGCCCCTCACCCTTAAATGACAGCCCAGATCGGGATTTCTTTCCCAAGCCTTGTGGACTGCGACAGTGAGGAGGGAATGAGGCGCCCAGACCTTCCCAGAGATTCGCACAAGGGTCCCTGGAGGTTCAAGTCTCCTCCACTCCTTTCTCCGTCCTGAAGGGTCACAGCGTCGGGCTGGCAGGAGGCTGGGTGGAGAGTAGACCAGGTGGGGGGGCCTTGGAGCCGCTGGGAGCAGAGGAGGCAGCTCACCTCAGCAGGCTGCCATTCTGTCTGACAACTGGCTCTCAAGATGCAGAGATTTCAGTGTATATAAGCACAGGAAGTATGCAAGGACTAGGTTGCTCCATTCTAGTGAAGTCCTTTGCTGGTGTTAGTAACCTCTTACCTCTCCTGTGTCAGGGCCACAGTATGGGACTGTGGAGAAGGCCTGGGTGTCCTTCATGTCCGAGGCAGAAGGGGTCAGCGAGCTACACCTGGACGTGAAGGCCTTGCTCATGAACGAGGACTTTGAGAAGATTAAGAACTGGCAGAAAGAAGCCTTTCACAAGCAGATGATGGGAGGCTTCAAGGAGACCAAGGAAGCCGAGGACAGCTTCCGAAAAGCGCAGAAACCCTGGGCCAAGAAGCTGAAAGAGGTACCTCCCTCCCCTGCCGCTTCCTAGCCAGCTTCCTACCGCTGACTGCCCTGGGCAGTACTGCCTTCCCTGCGCCCAGGGCCTCCTGTGGCTATCATCCATGGCAGAGCAACAGCAGCTCTTCGTGCAGAGCAGGACGCAGGACCACACTGGTCAGTGTGGAGAGCTCGGATCTCGGCTCCCGTCGCTGGCAGTGCTTGCCCTGCCTGGGCACCTGTCTGTCAGCGACGCGCCTGTCCCTTTAGACCGGGAGCATGCATCAACTTACACTTGTTCTTTCTCCCTCGTGGCTTTCTCCCCAGTTTGCCAGCGATGCTGCTACTCCTCCTTCTAAAAGTTGGAGGCAGAGTCACTGGCTCCCTCAGGCCCTGGCTAGCTGAGGCTGTCCTCCTGCCATCCCAGCCCCAACCCCAGTTTGTGCCCCGCACCTCCCTGCAGCTCCCCCCACTGCTCACCAGGCCTGCTGCTCCACCACCAGGCATGACCCAGAGCTGCTGAGCCATCCTCAGAAGCTTCGGAGCTCGCCTCCCTCCGTGGCTGTCACAGGCTTCCCTTTGCATCTTGCATCTTGCCACCTCTCCTGTCTGTCCTGCCTCGCCTGCACCAGTAGGAATTAAACTGCTCCCAACCTCAAGGGGGCAGTTGCTTCCCACTTGTCTCTCTCTCTCTCTCTCTCTCTCTCTCTCTCTCTCTCTGTCTGTCTGTCTGTCTAGAGAGCGTCTGTGGCTGTACTTCACATAAGGAGACTTCTTTTAAACCAGTGGGTGCAGTAGGTGTGTATCTGTGTGCGCCTGTATGAAGTAGGCATTGAAACCTGGCGGTTGTGCCTTCCAGCACAGCCCCGTCCCTCACTTACTTGAGTTTGTGCTTTGCAGCTTCCTGGGCACACACTGCCCTTCCTCTTCCTCCTTGTTTTGGGCCTGTGTCTTCTCAGCTGTCCCTTCTCCCCATTTCGTGTAAAATCCAGCCTTCCTCCCGTGCTGTGTCCTGTCTTCCCTGCTAGCTTTTCTTCCATACCTCTCAGTACCTCCCAAAAGTGTTTCATTGTCCCCTGCGTTTGGCTCCCTCAAATCAACTAGAAGCTTCTTTAAAGTGCAGGCCCTCGGTCCTCTGCTATGTTCCCAGTGCCTGGAGCCACACATGACCCAGAGCAGCGTCATTTGTCGCAACTAGTCACAGTGACGGATTGTGCAGTGTGTCCTGCCTGTCCTCACCTTGACAGCACCCACACCGTGTGCCATGTGCCCTTTGGTGAGAACCTGACTGTCAGCGCTCTGCCATTCCGGACTTGCTCTCCCCGTAGGTAGAAACATCGAAGAAAGCCTACCATGCAGCTTGCAAAGAGGAGAAGCTGGCCATCTCCCGAGAAGCCAATAGCAAGTCAGACCCCTCGCTCAACCCAGAGCAGCTCAAGAAGCTGCAAGACAAAATAGAGAAATGCAAGCAAGATGTCCTGAAGGTAGATCACACGTTCGTTTCTCCAGCGTCACTGTGGCACTTGTTCATGTGTCTGGCATGTGGTAAACTGTGGCAGTTGCTTGTCTGGGTGGCTGCACAGAGGGTCAAATCTGCAGAGCCCCGTCCCTGCTCTTAGGGCCTTACAGACAGCACCTTGGAGCTGGCCTTTCTCACAGCCATTACACTGGCTGCCAGTGAAGGACAGAGCCTAGAGCTGGGGAGAGGGTAGCGCAGTGGCGTGTTGGGCTCCGCTGAGAACCTTGAAGTGGGCGTTGCTGCAAGGAGGCACCACTCGTGCAGGGAGTGGGGCGTGTCCTCGGAGAAGGTTCCCAAGCGTACGTGCTTTGTGTAGGATTTCTGGATAGCCATGACCCTCGGCCTGTACTGGGGTAGGGCCAGGTCAGGCGCAGTCAGCACAGGACCAAGACAGGTATGTCCACCTTATGGCACTGTCAGAGCTTGCAGGAGGCACCATTCTCAGGGCTGAGTGTGGCCACCACAGGGGGGTCAGGACCATGGGCCCGGGGCAGCACTGCTGCACTGCTGAGTAACTGCTGGGCTTTGCAGCTCTGTGCAGGCCTGGCAGGGACTTCCCTGTGCTCCGAGAAGCCCACATGACTGTCTGAGAGGGCCCAGAGGGCACCAAGAACCCCAGGTGCAGGGGCGGGACCCTGGAGCTGGTGACATCACCCTCAAAAACCTGGAGAGGCTTTGAAAAAAGGGTCACTGGGTGTGCAGTGGCCTGAGCAGGGTTGGGGGAGCGGATCTGGGGTCCTGGGGGAGCAGAGATATTTCAGCCTGGACCTCGGGGAGGGCCCCATCCCTCCTTAGAAGGCCTGTGCATGGCAGGGAGCAGGCAGAGCTCTGGGGGGATGCCTGGCCGGTCAGTCATTTCTCAGGGTCTTAGAGTAGAAAGCCTTGTACTGAAGCAGTGACCCCAGCCCTTCCGTCATTCCCAGACCAGCTGGCCTGCAGAGCTGTGGGCCGGCGGGGCACAGAGGGACGGCACCCTGGAGTCTGCGGGCATCACTGACCCGAACATGTCCTGTCAGGCGCTCGCTTCAGCTGCTTCCCAGGAGTCACAGGTGTTTTCCAGCTGTCCCTGGACTCTTGACAAAAGCCACATTGCTCTTCCTATTTCCTGGCTCATAAAAGCCTTCTTGGGGACTGTTGGAGAAGCAGCAGCAATGTGTCCTGAAGGACAAGCACGAGGACTCTGCAAATGCCCAATTCCTATAGCTGTGTGCCTTTTGTTTAAATCTCTGAATTTTCTGATACAGAAAGTGAGGCCCCAGGAAAATAAGCGAGCACTTGGGGACTCCGGCCCAGCCCCATCTGGCACGTAGCACTATGACCTTGCTTCTGAGGTGACCCTGAGCCACTCCTGCTGGGCAGGGCCGAGGCCCAGAGGGCCTGGCAGCATGATAGACTCCAGGGTGACTTCCCCTCCCTGAACCCATCTGACCTCGCTCCTGGGTGGCAGTGGTGTGGCTCCCCCAGGCCAAGCCTCAGAGTCTCTGACTCCAGAGCTCCCGCTCCAGGAGCTGAGATGCTGCAGGAAGGTGGGTGAGGTAGGGGGACTGAGCCCTGTCTCTGCCTGCGTTGTGCATAGAGCAAGGACAAGTACGAGAAGGCCCTGAAGGAGCTGGACCAGGCCACACCGCAGTACATGGAGAACATGGAGCAGGTGTTCGAGCAGTGCCAGCAGATGGAGGAGAAGCGGCTGCGCTTCTTCCGGGAGGTCCTCCTGGAGGTCCAGAAGCACCTGGACCTGTCAAACTCGGCCAGGTAGGAGTCCCCACGACGCCAGAGGGGACACTTGGGTACTGTGCTGCAGGCCTCGGGTGACATTTCGCCAGAGCTCCCCCTCGGGTGCTGTGCTGAGCCCACCTGTCCCAGTGCAGGGCAGCCAGCTGGGGTGGTGGCCTGCAGGCCATCTGGCAGGGCAGGCAAGGTGGGGCTCACTCTGCCCTGGGTCTGGGCAGGGAGTGGGCACTGTGAGTTCCGAGCTCAGCCAGAGCAGCCACGGTGAGTGGGTCTGACATCTTCCTGGGGGAGAGTGTCCCACCCAGGACAGTCCCTCTTGTCCTTGCTGCTAGCTCAGCCATGGTTTCTCGGGGTTCTAGGCCCCAGAGGCAGCACAGGCCCTGTGAGGGCACCACACTGTGACCCGGAAGCCATGCTGTCTCGGTGCTGTGCTCAGCTTCAGTCCCAAGGCCCCTTTCAGGCTTGAGGTCCATCCTGACAGGCACAGACAGGCGTCTGCCTCTGTCGTCCACATGGCAGAGCCCTTGACAAATAAATCTCGGGCTAAGACCTATAGTGAATGGGACTTTACACTCCCTTTGTTGTCTTTATAAAAGAAACAGAAAGCAGTAATTATCACACAGCTACTCTGCCACTGTGACATCTTGTAGAGGACAACGAGGGGACTGAGGCTGGGTTAGGTTCCAAGGCTTGCAGACTGCTGCACGGCAGACAAGGGGCGAGGCTGGGACCGCGGCCAGTTCTGTGTGTGACCTGTGCCATGTGCAGGCACATTTGTCTAGAACTCCCCTGGGAACCTCCCCTGGCCCAGGTGGCATAGTTGCTTCCTAGGGCAGAGTCCCCACCTCTGGGCCTTTCCTCCTCCCAGTTCTAGAGGCCAGAAGTTCAAGCTCAGAGAGTGAGCCGGGCCGTGCTCCCGGGAAGGCTTCTGGTGCCTGCCACTGTCCTCCGCTCCCCCAGCTGTGCCCCCCTGCCCCAAACCTCAGCCATCTCTCCCCGCTGTTAGCCCTTGTTTTCCCTGTGTGTCTTCCAGACTTCTGTCTTCCTCCCTCCCTGTACTTTGGTCCTGGGGTTGAACCCAGGGCCCACACTGAACTGTGTCTCACCCTTCCCGTGTTTTGTTTGAGATCTTCTAAGTGGCCTAGGCTGGCTCTCAGCTGGAGGGGCTGGGGCTTCTGACACCGCGCAGTTGTCTGTCCCGGACTCTGCCTGGTCCACACGCTGCCTCCGAGGCGGGGCAGAGCTGGGTGCGCAGCTGACGGACTTTCCTGGTCTGTCTGGGAAGTAGACGCATGTGAGGTGCAGAGACTTCGGGGCCTGCAGTCGGCAGCATCGGACTGGGATGAATGTTCCCGGTTCTCTGCCTCCCACAAAGTCATGGTTCTTCCTCTGATTTAGCTACAAAACCATTTACCGTGACTTGGAACAGAGCATCAAAGCAGCTGACGCAGTGGAGGACCTGCGGTGGTTCCGAGCCAATCACGGGCCGGGCATGGCCATGAACTGGCCGCAGTTCGAGGTAAGAGGAGGCGCAGTTGCCCATGACCCCTGGTTCCAGGTGAGCTGCACACCCACGTCTGTTCGGGTGTTGGCTGTGTTCCGGGGTGCTAGATGTGTGCAGCTGAGATACCGACGTGTGCAGCTGAGATACCGACGGGTGGCGTGCTCAGCAGGCATTGCCTGAGGCCTCTTTAGGCTCTCCGGAAGGGGCCAGTGCGCTTCCTGCTGAGGAGCACAACTGTTGCCTGCTGACCGTCAGCAGTGCCTTCCCTGTGACCCAGCAGCAAGTTCTTGGAGCTTGGGATCCCCTTACCAGCTGGCTAGGAGAGAGCAGCCAGTGCCCCAGCTCCCGTGGAGCTGTAGGAAGCCTTGTTCCTCATCTGGGGCTTTGTGGATACCTGGAGCAGAAACCCATGGATCTTGGTTTAGGACAAGCTGTGCCGTTCCCCATTTTGTGACTCTGGCCCTTCCAGGGTCTTTACCTTGCAGGCAAAGGTCTGACAATGTGGAATTGTCCGATCTAGAGTTGGATCACCAGGCCCCACAAGGCCCTGACAGCAAGGTAGACGTCACTGGCCAGGGATCTCACTGGCCAGTTCCTTGTGACTGGCTGAGTATGTCGTGTTAGTGGCCCCTCCAAACCCTGGGAAGAGCCCCGTGGGGCTGTGGCCAGTGCCTTCCTCAGGAAAGGGCCAGAGCCCAGGTGCAGCCTGCCCCCAGCGCCCGACCCAGCAGCCATGGCATTAGAGCAAACCCCTTGTGCTTTCCATGGCTCCCTTTTCCTGCTGTCAGATGAGAGTGACACCCATGGGTAGGGCCAGGGCAATGGCCTGGCCATTTGGATCTTTCAGCCCAGCCCTGGAGCCTCAGTGGTGACTATTGCTAGGTCCTCGGCCCCTTCTCTACCTGTCCTCATGTCACTCCTCAGTCCTGCCCTTGTGTTTTCTGGACCTCACAAGGTCTGCATATGGCTGAGTGGGTCACTATTGCTGAGTGTACCCTGCACTGCCCAGTGCCTCCCAGCAGGGGGTGTGGGTGCTCTCCACCCTGGCTCTGGGCAGCTTAAGGGTGGGGCTTTCCTGAGCATGGCAGGCAGCCTTTCCTTCCTGGGATCCCTGGGCAAGGGTGTACTCAGCTTGACTACGGGGCGTTGCAGGGAGTTCAGCCTATGGGGGTTCACAGCAACCCTAAATGTGAAGCTCCCCAGGGTCCTCAGAGGTGCCAGCTACGGGAGCCATGAGCAGAAACAGCTTCAGGCTGTCTCCCTGCAGGGAGGGCCCTGACGAGGGCCTCATGGTATTTGGTGGCTCCCAGGCAGGAACCAGTGCCCCCCGTCCCTTCTGCACACTTTTGCTGTTGATTCAGGACCATATCAGACTTCGTCTAATGAAATTATTTGTTTTTATTTTCCATGCCACCAGGATGAAGTAAGTGTCTGTTTTGTGGCTAATTCCCGGGTGTCCTCGCCCCATGCCCTGTGTGTGGGACAGTCTGTGCTGCGGAGAAGTGAGGCAGCTCTGTCAGGGTTGACAGTGAAGGGCAGGCGGCCGGCCCTTCACAGTGGCAGATGCTGGGCCTGTTGTCTGTGGAAGCCACCTGATCAGGTGGATCTGTACTCACTGTTAGGGTGACCTGGATTCAGGGTTCGGAGCCTAGGTCTACCTCACATAGTGTACAGGTCAGTCCCTGTTCCCTTCTGCGCTCAGTTTCCTCATCTGACAAATAGATGCCTTCAACCTGACATTTCTAAGATGGCCCTGACCTTGAGGATCTGTCACGAGTGGGAGCAGAGCTGCGGGCAGAGGGATGCCGGGTTTTAATCAGGCCGACTGGTAAGCGAGAGGCGAGGGAAGGACCCTAAAGCCAGTGCCCGCACGTGCGGAGCGTCAGGACCTTCTCGGTTAACCCTCCCTGTCTCAGCACAGTTGCCCCAAGCTTGCTCCGCGCTGGGGAGTTGGCAGTGCTCTGGGGGAAAGGGACCAGGGCCCGTGCCTGTGCCACTTTGGAGATGTCCGGGCCACTGTGTCCCAATGTTCTTTGTAGTCCGTGGTTCAGTTCCAGGTGCTCAGGTCTCTGCAGCCCGCTGTCACCCCCATGACCCAGAACTCAGGCTATAAGTGGGAAAGGCCTGAAGTGCTTCAGGACAGGACTCAGTGCTGTGGCCAGGCTTTCCAGTGTGCTAGCTCCTGTCAGCCTGCGAGGCCTGAAGGGGCTGGAGGCTGAGCGCCGTGGTGGGCAGGGATGGGATTTAGGCAGCTGGTCTGTTCTGTTGTGGCCCTGTGTCATGGGAAGTCTGCTTGTCTCAGGAGGCAGGGCTGCCACGGGTGTGGCCCCTGGGACTGTACGAGGCCAAACCCCAGGCCTCCCCAGGAGTCCCTCTAACTGCTGGAGGGGGACGGGTGCAGGGGTGGAGAGGAGCCTGAGGTCTCTTGGGAAGGCAGGAGCACAGAGCCCACGAGGCTCAACACCACTGATGCACAGGGCAGGGGGCCTCTGTGATGTCCACCTGTGGACATCCTGACGTCTCTCCCTCCACCCTTGTTGCCCAGGAGTGGTCCGCAGATCTGAATCGAACTCTCAGCCGGAGGGAGAAGAAGAAGGCTGCCGACGGAGTGACCCTGACAGGCATCAGTCAGATGGGGGACCAGGCCGTTCTGAACAAGGCCGGCAGGTGAGCACCGGTGCAGCCTCCACCCAGAGGACCCAGGCCTGCTTGGTCACGGACAGCACCACCAGCTTGGATACTTGGCAGATGCCCTGTGGTGCCGGGGCATCAGCCTCCCCGTCACCCCTTCCCAAAGATTCCTACACTGATGCACTCTGGCTTTGGCCCTAAGGCGTCTCTCAAGGTCATCTTTCTGCCTAGGGCTGCAGCTGCTTGAGGTTAGAGAGGGAGTTCTGAGCCAGACTCCGCCCTCGGCCCAGGAGAGGGCGGCACCAGGGTGTGCGCTGCGCAGACAGAGCTGGGTACAGGCAATGCCGGGCCAGGTGCTCCCTCCTTCCTGGTGCCGGTCAGCCAAGGCCACCACAACGGGGCATCAGGCGTCCCTTTGCAGGTCACCCGCTCACTAAGCAAGTGGCTTATTCCTGACTTAGTTTTGGGCTGAATGTGAATTGAGGGTAGGAGAGGTGGCACTGTCTTCGTTAGAACCTTCTGGAAAGTACGTGCTACTGCTGACCTTCCATGCTTAGTCACAGGCTCCTGGTGACAGGACTTCGAGGAAGGCCTCCGCCCAGGGTGCCAGGGGTTCTGTAGCTGCAGATACAGCCTCCAGGCTCCAGGCGGTCATTCGTCTGCTGTGCACACAGGACGAGTTTCAGGCACAGCCTCTGCATGGGCACAAGCAGGCAGCGCTGTGGCCTCTTGGGTCCCTCTGGTGCTGCGGTGATCCCGTGCTTCCCTCCCTCCCAGCCCTGGTGGCAGTGGAGTGGTGAGGACTGACTGGGTCTCCAGAGCGGGAGGGCCCGTGCCCCCAGAGAAGGCCATGCAGTGAGCCTGTCCCTGAGTCCAGTGTACAGAGAGTGCTGGGATGCTGGCCCTTACTCAGGCTTGCACCCCAAGGGACAGGGCAGGGAATGTGCCAGGAGCCCGGCTGGTGGCCGTCCCATGCCAGGGCCCATCTGTGGTGATGCAGCAGAGGAGGGGAGCTGCTTCTCTCCGATGCCCGATGCGCTGGGGCTGAAGTGCAGGGCGTGGACACTGCACTCCTCCTGCTGCACAGGCCCTGCAGTGGCAGCCGTGCCGGCCGTGCCAGTCCTGAGTGTGCTGTCTCTCCTCACAGCCACCTTAGTGTCCCGGGCAACCCCATCCAGCCTGCCCAGTCACAGTCCAGCTACAACCCCTTCGAAGACGAGGATGACACGGGCAGCACCGTCAGCGAGAAGGAGGACATTAGGACCAAAAAGTGGGTGAAGAAGCGCTTCCCTCTGATTTCTCCCTCACTCGCTCCGCATCCCTCTCTGTCCTGAGGGCTCTCTTGGGCTCTGGTCCTGACCCCCACCACGCACTGTGGCAGAGCTTGCAAGAAGGCACACACTGGTGCCCCCACGGGCACCTCCCGCCTCTGCGCATCTCAGGGAGGGCACAGCTAGCACCCCACTCCAGTGGGGGCTTTCTGCCCTCTGATAACCCACCAGGCCCCGACAAGGGCAGATACGCACACTGTGCACCCTGCAGGCATGGCTGTGGGGTGTCCTGCCGCAGCCTCGGGTGAGCGAGCTCCACATCCTCATGGCCCTCACCAGGAGGAGGTGCCCTCAGACCCGGGGCTGTCACACCTGCTCCCTTGGGGTGGGGCTCTGTCTTCTGCCGGCTCCTGCTCAGGGCTGCGTCTGCTCCCTTGTCACAGTGTGAGCAGCTTCGAGAAGACTCAGAGCTACCCGGCTGACTGGTCCGATGAGGAGTCCAGCAACCCCTTCTCCACGGATGCCAATGGCGACTCCAACCCGTTCGATGAGGATGCCACCTCGGGCACAGGAGTGCGTGTCCGGGCCCTGTACGACTACGAGGGACAGGAGCATGACGAGCTGAGCTTCAAGGCCGGTAGGTGGCTCCTCGGCTGCCTGAGGCTAAGGTTTCCTGGCTGACGGAGAACTGAGTCTTCTTCCTTCTCAAAATCTGATAAGTTCCTGTGAGTGTCTGGTGTGGATCCTCTCTGTGACACGCTTTTTCTTGGTTTCAAAAAGTAGCAGGTACCCCATGCCTTCCCAGGGCCCCTACCCTCACTGGCAGAACTCGGGGGGATACTGGTGAGGCTGCTGGGGACATGCTGACTGTGACCACCGGGCCCAGCCCCACACACTGAGAGCCGCCAGCCCCCAGGTCCCTCAATGTGGCCTCCCCTTCTGCAGCTCCCAGCTGGTGTGGGGGTCCCCTGGAGAGCAGGGGCCAGCCAGGCTGGGCCTTGTAGGACCCAACATCTGTCCCATGCTCATTCCACAGCCACCTGTGCCCTGTGGCTCAGAGGCAGGTTTAAATGGGTGTCCCTCAGCCGTGTGTGCTGTCCTCCTGTCTTGTGCAGGTCTCCTGTCTTGTCTGCTTTTTAAAAACTTGGTCCAGTTTACCAGGAAGCTGCAAGCCTCAGTTGGAAAGCGCTGTCTTAGCCTGTCTGAGAGGGTGGAGAGGCCTGGCCCACCGGGGCGGGCCCAGGGATGACAGTGCTCTGGCTGTGGCCATGGTGCAGAGCTGGGCCTGAACTTAGCGACCCAGCCTGGTGCTGCCCCCCAGCTCATCCCCTGCACTCTCAGTGGGGTCTGCCGACTGCGTGACCCCTGTCCTCGGGGTTGCTCAACAGGGGCTCTTGCACTGGGGATCTTTTGCTGCAGTGGGGCCCAAGCCCCAGTGCCCTGCACATCCTAGGCAAGTGCCACGCTGTGAGCGCCTCCCCTCAGCACTCTTTGTGCCTTTAAACCCTCTCCCCAGTCGGGACTGCAGCGTGCCCTGTGACCTGCTCGGTGGATTGCTTTCTCATTGCGGATGCTTACCACGTCTCACCCGTGCCCCTGACGGAGAGCACAGGTGTCACAGCTTTCCTGTTGGCCAGGACTGGAGCCCTCTGGCTCTGCATATCCATAGGAGCCACTGCGGCACCTGTGAGCCCCGTGCTCCCAGGTCAGGGTGAGAGAGCTGTTCCTTTAGTGCGGAGAAGCCACTGTGCCCGGGCTGCATCTTAGGCCAGCCGGTGGAGGATGAACCAGGCACTTGCCCCGCCCCTGGGAGTATGCCAGCTCCTCCTTGGGGCCACAGCATCACAGGGCACGCAGCTCAGCCTGCAGCCAGCATCTCCCACCCTCTAACTTAGACCCACTCTCCTTCATCTTGCAGGCGATGAGCTGACCAAAATAGAGGATGAGGATGAACAGGGCTGGTGCAAAGGACGCTTGGACAGTGGGCAGGTCGGCTTGTACCCTGCCAACTACGTGGAGGCCATCCAGTGATGGGCCATGGCAGGCCAGCCCCCGAGCAGCGGTCCCTGCAGCCTGGGGGCAGGCGCCCCACCTGCTCACCACGCCAGCCCCCTTGAGCTTGCTTCCTGGTGTGCTTGGAAGGCAGAGGAGCTGGTCGTAGCTCCTGGAAACTCAGCCCCTTTCCAAGTGCACCCGGGGCTCCACACTGGAGGGCAGCGTGGAGGGTGAGCCAGCACTGCCCACCTGGCAGCACAGTCCAAGGCTCCTCAACCTCACCTTCTGCAGCTCTGCAGGTGGGGCTCGTTCTTCCTCCACAGACTGTCCTCTCACCAGCCTGCTGCCCGCTAGCTCAGTAGACAGACCTTACGCCCTTTACCAAGTGAAGATTCTGAAGGTTTTAATTTAAAAACTGTCCAGTTACACTTCTCATGTGTGGGCTCCAGAGGGCACTGAACCAGCCTCCAGGACACAAGGGCTCCGGGCGTGGGGACAGGTGACACCCACAGCCAGAGGCTGTGAGCAGCGTGAGGCGCACCACAGAGGGGTTTCGATGATGCACAAGGCCAGCGGAGGAAACCTCACACCGCACTCCTGTAGCTGCCGACCGATCGCCAGATGAGTCTCACTCGCTTTCTGCACAGAGCTCATCTGCCCACACATTCACTGGTATCAGTGATTTGGGAGATGAAGTGAGGCCGGCTTGCCAGCAGGGGCTCCTGGGACCCAGATGCTCTGCAGGGCTCATGTGCCCTGTGCATACCTGTATATGTCACTTGCTGTTCACAGAATCTGAGTGTGAGGCCTGGGGCCTCGCACTGTGGAGAGCTGTAAAACGCTGTCTGCGCGGTTACCGCGGGCTTCGTCACTCCTCATGAGTGGGTGGCAGGAAGGGCCTTCATTGCATTAGCGGGGACAGCAGTGTCCTCCACCACTGTCGCAGCTGCTGTGCTGTTTGCTGTCTGCAGGTAGCTCCCTGGGCCCGAGTCAGGGACTGTTGTGAAAATCCCAGCAGCAGCCCCCATCCTGCGGTGCAGATCCACCAGCAGCTGTCACGTCTTTTAAGTTAATAATAGCTCCTTTCAGTGTATGGCATCTTCAAGCAAAATCAATAAACAGTCGATCTCAGGTGTGCGGAAGGCCCTTGCCGAGTGTCTGCCGGGGAGACCCGTCATTCTGAGTCACCCCCTTGTATCTGAGCAGGGCTAGGGCCCCTGAACCCATTGTTTGACCTGGTCTCCCACGGACAGGGACTCCTGGGTGACATTTCCCCCACCAGCCCCAGCAGCAGAATATGACCTGCAACCCCGGCCCTGTGGTCCTCCCGGAACATATTTCCCCGAGTACTTGCTGGGCCTTGAGCTCCGCTCTGCTTGTGTTACAGGCAGAGCACTCCTCTCTAGGTGTCCTGTGCGCAGGCCGGCTCCCTTTTCCGTTTCCGTTCCTTCAGAGGAGCCAGGTCTCCTAAAGCCGTGTAACCCTGGAGAACTCGGCAGCCCTAGGTGCCTAGGCAGTTCGGACAGGGCAGGGACAGGTGACAGCTGCCATGAGCACAGAGCATTCCTGGGGGCCTACAGGAGTGAGGTGCACAGCCACCCCGCTGCATCTGCCCACACTCAGGGCAGAGCAGGCTTCTCGACCATCTAGCCACCTGCTGTGAGAATGGCAGAGACCATCAGCAGACAACTAGCTGCCCAGCGTAGACAGCAGCTTCTGTCTGCCCCAGCCTTGGGCTGCAGAGGGAGGCCCCTGCAGGTGCCGTTTAAGCACCTACTGTGTGCCAGACTCTGGTGCTGGGACAGAGATGAAGAGACACTTTCCCTTGGGGAGCTGCCACACGCTCAGAGAGGGACCTGTCATTCTGACACCAGAGGGCCAGGAGAGCCTGGAGGGCTGTTGGCTGCGCTTGGTGGGTTCTGGGACATTGTACCCACCCTATGTGTCCCGGAGCCATCTCCCTACTTCCAGAGCAGTGCATGCCCTGTCCTCACAGGAGGAGGCCTGGCCGCCTCGGCTTGGGCCTCAGCCCTAGCAGGTGTCTGAACCACTGGCGGACGGCCAAGGCAGTGGCCAGCTGTCCAGAAGCCCAGAGACCCAGCCAGCGGCCACCCTGGCCCACAGGTACCCCAGGCTCCTCCCCATTTCTGCATCCAAGCCTGCTCCAGGCTGCCTCCCTCTGCTCCCCAGACCCACAATGGCCTCTGCCTCATCAAGGAGGTTCAGTGTGTGCCCTCCCTGCATCTCTGGACACTGCAGGAGCCCTGTGCCTATCCCTGAGCATGGTGCCCCTGTGAACGGGCACTGACCTTGGGTCTGGCTTCTGGGAGGAAGCAGCAGCAGTGTCCTGGGGCACCGAGGAGAGCAGCACAGTGCTGTGCCCAGGAGGAAGCAGGTGAGCTGGAGTGACCTGGCCTGCAGATGAAGTGTCAGGCTCGTTCCCAGCAGGAGTGGCCATCTCCTAGCATGGGGGTCAAGGGTCACCACTGTGCTAGAGACCCATGTCGGAATCACCACCCTAATGGCGATGACACGTAGCAGCTGGGGCCTTCGGACTGTGCTTACGTCAGGAGGGAGAGGCCCGCACAGCCGGGATTAATGCCATTCTCGGAGGAGAGCCCTCACTGGTCTCCTTCGTGGGGGGAAGCAGCTAAAAAGTGCCTTCTCAGAAAGCAGCAGTCAGCTGTGAATGCTGCCTGCTCTGTGTTCTTGGACCTCCAGCCTCCAGGGCTCTGACAAATGTCTGTTGAAAGAAACTAAATGTAAAAAAATAAAAGTGAAATTTTGTCGCGTCTGAGCTTCTCAGCCCATGGCATTTTGTCCAAGCAGCCTGGAGCAACTGGGACTCCCCGGTGGTGGGCGAGGGGCTCTTTTATTTTTTTTTTTTTTAAGAGGAAAAAGAGAAAAACACAAAACAAAGCGGTGTAAGGGTACACGTAATACAGAACTACAAAAAAAAAAAAAAAAACATAACAGAAATCACCTGTTAATAGATTACATATTATCATCTTAAAAATAGTTGCTCAAATCACAGTATCAAAGAATACAAGGTGGACATTCAAACAGGGAGACTGCAAACATCTGTGTTCAATGAGCCAAAAACATTGATGTAGTCAGCTATTTAACACCCCAAACACACTTGCTGTTATATCCGTTAGAGCTTTTTCTTTTTTTTTTCCCTCTCTATTTTACAACAAAATTTACACATTTTGGATTTTATTACTCCTTAGTGCTTATTACTTTTTTTTTGGGGGGGGGGAGAATACAGTCAAATATGGCAAAACAAAGCTGTCAGTCAAAACCAAGGATAGACATAGCACATGGTGTAGAACAGAGTACAAGGTTATCAACAATGGTTATCAACGTTGTCTCTTGTTTCCTTAAAAAGAATTGTCTATCTCATTAGATATTATAAAGTTGGACAAAACAGTAGAGAACAAGACCAATAAAACTTAGGCATTGTAAAAACAGGACTTCCAAAGAAGACAATAGTCAAACCAGAATGGGCGTCTTAGTGAATCTTATTGCCTTCAAAGTAGTTGCCTATATCCTCAAACTTGATACTATCATACAGAATGGAACAGAGTCTAATCAGTCAAAACAAGATCGTGGGAGTATTACAGGACTTCAAAACAAGTTAATAGGAAATCAAAAAGAGTTACTATTTATATATCCTAATTTTTAAAATTTTTTCCCTTAATTAAGACAAACATAAGAAATGACTAAATAATTTTTTTAAAAGAATAAGGGGGAGATTGAGATAAAACAGGACATAACAATATAACAATAGAGGTCAAAGCATGACTGTTTCAGCAACCTAGTACTTCACCACCATATAACCCGACTTAATAGTAGTTACCATGGTGTCTGTCTTTTTCCTTGAAGTATTTGGATAAAACTTCATATACTCTAGCTTCAAATATTTCCATATCAAGAAGCCCAGAATAAAGCCTTTCTAATTAATGAGTGAAAACTTTATAAGGCTTCAAGGCCACCTAATGGGGAATCATGATTACCACATATTTTTATATATTTGAATCATTACTTACATTAGGGAAACTATTCGGTATTCACACATGCGAGATTGATTTATTTCACTTATGAGTATGGTCTCAAGCTGCGCCCATTTATTGATAAATATCTCAATGTGATCCTTCTTTATAGCTGAATAATACTCCATTGTATAGAAATACCACAACTTTTTTATCCATTCCTCAGTTGATGGACACTTGGGTTGTTTCCAAGATCTGGCGATTACAAATTGTGCTGCCATGAACATAGGTGCACATATATCACTGTGGTGTGATGCTTTCAGTTCTTCTGGGAATATGCCTAGAAGTGGAATAGCTGGAATAAATGGGATTTCCAATCCCAACTTTTTGAGAAATCTCCAGACAGATCTCCACAAAGGCTGTACTAGTCTACACTCCCACCAGCAGTGCAGGAGAGTTCCTTTTTCCCCACAGCCTCTCCAGCATTTGTTGTCGGTTTTCTTGATCCTGGCCATTCTTTCAGGAGTGAGATGGTATCTCAGTGTGGTTTTAATTTCCATTTCTCTAATGACCAATGATGATGAGCATTTTTTCATGTATTTATTTGCCATTTGCATTTCTTCATCTGAGAATTGCGTATTCATCTCAGATGCCCATTTTTGGATTGGATCTTTGAATTTTGGAGGTTTGAGTTTTTTTAATTCTTTATATGTTTTAGACAAGAGGCCCTTGTCTGAGAGAGAGTTCACTAAAATCTTTTCCCAGTTTGTGGGTTTTCTTTTCACTATGCTGGAGATTTCTTTTGACATGCAGAAACTTTTTAATAAGAAATGGTCCCAGTTATTGATTCTGGGAAGTATTTCCTGTGCGGTTTGAGTCCTGTTCATGAATTCTTTACCTACTCCTATGTCTCCAAGGTTTCTACCTAATTTGTCTTCCAATAGATTTAGTGTTTCTGTTTTAATATTCAGATCTTTGACCCATTTAGATTTTAACTTAGTACATGGTGATAGACATGGGTCTAGCTTTAGTTTTCGGCAAATGGAGAGCCAGTTTTTCCAGCACCATTTATTAAAGAGACTGTCGTTCTTCCAGTGAACCTGCTTGGCTCCTTTATCAAAGATAAGGTGGTTGAGTGTGTTTGTAGTTGTGGTTGTATCTTCTAATCTATTCCATTGATCTTCGGTTCTGTTTTGATTCCAATACCATGTTGATTTTACTACTGTTGCTTTGTAGTATAACTTCAGGTCAGGGATTGTGATGCCTCCTGCTTTGTCTTTGCTGCTTAGAATTGCCTTTGCAATTCTAGGTCTCTTCTGGTTCCAGATGAAATTTAGGAGTGATTTCTCTAGATCTATAAGGTATGTTGATGGTATTTCTATTGGGATTGCATTGAATCTGTATAACAGTTTTGGGAGAATGGCCATTTTCACAATGTTTGTTCTTCCTATCCATGAGCAAGGGATGTCTTTCCATTTTCTGAGATCATCTTCAATTTCCTTTTTCAGTGTATTATAATTTTCACTGTATAAGTCTTTCACTTCTTTCGTAAGAGTAATTCCTAAATATTTCATTTTTTTGGTTGCTAATGTGAATAGTCCAGTTTCTCTTATTTCCCTCTCTGTGATTTTGTTGTTCGTGTATAGGAATGCTATTGATTTCTGAGTATTGATTTTGTATCCAGCCACATTACTGAATTTATTTATTGTATCTAAGAGCCTTTCAATGGAGTTTAGGGGGTCTTCTATGTAGAGTATCATGTCATCTGCAAACAATGATAATTTAACTTCTTCTTTTCCTATCTTTACCCCTTTTATTTCTCTTTCTTGCCTAATTGCTCTGGCTAGTACTTCCAGTACTATATTAAATAGGAGTGGTGATAAAGGACATCCTTGCCTTGTGCCCGATTTTAAAGTAAAGGCTTTCAATTTTTGGCCATTTAGTATGATGCTGGCTGTTGGTTTGTCATAAATGGCCTTTATTATATTGAGGTAAAGACCATTTATTCCAATTTTCTGTAAAGTTCTTATCATGAATAAGTGTTGGACCTTATCGAAGGCTTTTTCTGCATCTATAGAAATGATCATGTGATTCTTATTTTTGGCTTTATTGATATGGTGGATTACATTTATTGATTTGCATATGTTGAACCATCCTTGCATTCCTGGGATGAATCCCACTTGGTCATGGTGTATAATCTTCTTGATGATTTTCTGGATCCTATTTGCCAATATTTTATTGAGGATTTTTGCATCTGTGTTCATTAGGGAGATCGGTCTATAGTTCTCTTTTATAGTTGGGTCTTTCTCAGGTTTTGGTACTAGAGTAATATTTGCTTCCAGGAATGACTTAGGAAGGATTGCTTCCCTTTCAATTTCATTGAATAGTTTGAGGAGTGTTGGCATTAGGTCTTCTTTGTATTTCTTGTAGAATTCTGCAGTGAATCCATCTGGGCCTGGGCTCTTCTTGGTGGGTAAGGACTTAATTACATTTTCAATTTCATTAGCAGAGATTGGGTTATTCAACAGTTTTACATCCTCTTGATCTAGCTTTGGTACTTCATATGCTTCTAAGAATCTGTCTATTTCTTCTGTGTTATCAAACTTTTGAGAGTAGAGGTTTTCGAAATAGGTGTTGATGATCCTCTGTATTTCTATTGGGTCTGTAGTGATTTCTCCTTTTTCATTTCTTATTGCATGAATTTGAGCTTTTTCTTCCCTTTTTTAAATAAGGTTGGCTAGGGGCTTATCGATTTTATTTATTCTTTCAAAGAACCAACTCTTTGATTCGTTGATTCTTTGGATTGTTTTCTTAGTCTCTATTGCATTGATTTCTGCTCTGATTTTTATAATTTCCTTTCTTCTTTTGGCTTTGGGCTTGACTTGCTCTTCTTTTTCTAGCTGTTTAAGGTGTAGCATCAAGTTATTTATTTGTATTCGTTCTGTTTTCCTGATGTGGGAACTCAGTGCAATAAATTTTCCTCTCAGGACGGCTTTCATTGCATCCCACAGATTCCGGTAAGTTGTATCCACATTTTCATTTTCTTTTAGGTATTGTTTAATTTCTTCTTTAATTTCTTCTGTGACCCACTGATTGCTCAAGAGTGTGTTATTCAGTTTCCATGTGTTTGCGGAATTTTTGCAGTATCTTTTATCATTAATTTCTAATTTCAGAGCGCTATGATCCGATAACATGCAAGGAATGATTTCAACTCTTTTGCATTTGTTTAAATATGTTCTGTGAGCTAATATATGGTCTATTTTAGAAAATGATCCATGTACTGCTGAGAAGAATGTATTCTGATGTTGTTGGGTGGAACATTCTGTATATGTCTATCAAACCCATTTGTTCACAGGTGTGATTCAGTTCTGTTATTTCTTTGCTCATTTTCTGTCTGGTTGATCTGTCCCTTGGTGTCAGTGGCGTATTAAGGTCTCCTGTTACAATTGTGTTACTGATAATTTGAGTTTTCATTTCTGTTAATAATTGTTTTATATAACTGGGTGCTCTGGAGTTTGGTGCGTATATATTTAAGATAGTTATCTCTTCCTCTTGGAGTTTTCCCCTTACGAGTATGTAGTGACCTTCTTTGTCCTTTATGGTCATTGTTGGTTTAAAGTTCAGGTTGTCTGCAAACAGAATGGCTACTCCTGCCTTTTTTTGGATTCCTGCTGCATGAAGAATTGTTTTCCATCCTTTGACTTTCAGTCTGTGAGTATCCTTCTGGGTTAGATGGGTTTCCTGTAAACAGCATATGGTTGGATTTTGTTTCTTGATCCATTCTGCTAGTCTGTTTCTTTTGATT